TGTAAAGGAAATAGAGGGATAATAAATTCAGGAAAATAACAGCCACTAACACTTATTAAGCGGTATGTGCTCATCACTGTGCTAGGTATTTTAGTGTATTATCACGTTGAATTTAATAGTCATAACACTAAAAGGTAGGTACCTTTATCATCCTCAAATTGCAGGTGAGGAAACTGAGATTTAGAGAGGTAAATTAGTTTGTCAAAGGTCACATAACTAGGTGTGGCTGAGCCAGGACCCAAACCCAGGATGTTTGATATCAGAGTCTAAGCTCCTATCCTCTATAATTTGGTAAGTCAAAAAAAACCCTGGGGATATACATATTCTGATTAACGAGAAAGAAACAAAGAGAGCAGTTGGTGAGGGAAGAAAGAGAACAGCAGAGACAAAGACTGTCCACACAGAGAGGATACTGTGTGATTAGAAAGAGCCTTAGATTAAACTTCAGGACATCTGGGAGCCCCTTTCCAGGGTGGCACCTGTGTGACCAAAAGGAAATTAATTCTTCTCTCCAGCCTAATGAAAGAACAACACGTTTACATACAGCATAGGACTGTGTTAAAGATACAAAGGTTAGAGGGACAATGAAACTCCAAAACAGCATACAGACTTCAATAAAATAAAAAGAAAATGAATAATTTAAAAAAATTAACAAAAAAGAACATACTATAGATTTAACAACCATATAAAATGCCATGGTAGAACTTAAACTACAAATAAATAACCTTAGCCTACAGGCTTATAAAATGACAACAAGGCTATCAGGGATTGTCCTTTTCCATTCCCTGATCATATCACTGCCACCTAAAATCATAAAAAAAAAAATGCTTTCAAGGTTCGCAGGTTTTGTTGTAGTTGCCTATTGCAGAAGACACTTGTAAAACCATGAACTCAAACCATGGTCAAAATAAGCCCAATTTCAGGCAATTAAAAAGTGTGTGTATATAAAAATATACACACATGCACATATTTAATTTATCATATCCATTTATTTTAATACCATAAGACCAGGAGCAGAGAAATCTACCCATGCTATGAGACCTACAGAAACTGTGAGATAAATGGGCATTGTTTTAAGCCACTAAGTTTGTTGTGGTTTGTTACCCAGCAATAGAGAACTAATACAATACCTGAGCCAATGTAGACAATGGAAAAAAACAAGACGGTTATTAACTCTGGATGGGAGTGAGAGACTGTGCAAACAAGGAAGAGTAATCCTACTGTATATAGGTTTTAAAGTATGTCCCCGACTCCTTTGACACCACTGTCTTGACTGCCTATGTCTGTATCCTCTGTAGCTTGGCTGGCCAGCCTTAGTGACATGCGCACACCAATCAAATGCAATGGAAGTAACGCTGAGGAGCTTCCTGGGGTAGGTCAGTTGCTGCCCTGGTCTCTAACAGCCCGTTTTACCAGAGAGTTCAACATGGGGCTTTCGGGCAAAGCATAGGTTTTCCATTTTTCAGATACTATTTATATTGTACTCTGTCGATATATCATGCTTAGGAACTTCACAAGAGACAAGGGATGGACGTAACGAAGCAGAATTTGGCCATTCCTGCATTCTCCAGCCATACGCCATCACGTGACACCACTAACCTCTGACGTGAACTGGCCACAATGGCAGCGCTGGCAGCAGTCAGGACAGTGGAGGACAGGGAGGATTGCCAATTACTGGTTGAAAACATTCTCTCGCTCCTTTTCATACCCTGGAAAGTTCTACCAAATTCATGTGCTGCAGAACCCTAAGCAATCTGCCTTAACTTCTTAGTCCCTACATTTCTAATCTGACAAACTTCAGAAATAACATTTGGTTGAATGAAGAAATTTCTTGAAAATATTTCAACAAAAAGTCTTCTCAAGCCTGAAATAAACTTTCATCTTATTAATTAAAATCAACAAGTACATATGGATAAGGCACACTGAGGGAAAAAGATATCACAGTCCCTGCCCTCAAGGTTATAATAAAAATAAGTACTTAACTAAGTATGAGGCAGAATATGGTAAGTTCTATAAGAAAGATACAAAAGGAGAGATCACATGCCATTGGACAGCAGAGAAACAGCTGTACAAAGGATCTGAATAACCTCTCCAAACCCGTGCTGTTCGGGTCCTTTTACTTTATCTACTCTGACACCTTGTCTTCACCTGAAATTAATCCATCCTTCAAATTTTAAACTTTGAAACCCTCTCTCAGACTAAATTCCTAAAGGTTACGAAATCATAGCTGGATAAAAGGAATAAGTTCTAGCATTCTATAGCACCATAAGATGACCATAGTTAACAATAACATATGGTTTCTAATAGCTACAAGGAGGATATTAAATGTTCCCAACACAAAGAAATGATAAATGTTTGAGACGATGGATATACTAATTACCCCAATCTGATCACTATACAGTATGTGCATTGAAACATCACTATGTACCCCACAAATATATATGATTATATGTCAATTAAAAAATAAAAAGTATTGAAAAAATAAATCTCTCTTAGGGGGGAACTCTTATCTCCCCCTCTGAAAAGCTCCAGAGTGGGGAGAGAACTATTGTTCCCTGCAGAGGGGAAGACAAGTGGCTGATCTGACTGGTACGACTGGTGAGACTCTTTCTACTCCACCCTAGTCCACCTTCACTTGCAAGAAAAAAGGACTAAGAATCACTTGGCCTTACGCCTCCAACAATGTATCAGAAGCCCTGTGTTCAGTGGTTATTGGATTCTGTTCAGCCATTAACAAAGTTGTCCCTTACTCCTTATATTTTATTCTCAAAAACCAGGACCTAAGAGGGGGAAGATGGACGAGTTACGGATCCCTCAAACATCCAGCAATCCCTTTAACTTTCTATCCAATACGCCCTATAAGCCATCAACCCTGGGTCACCTCATTTGTTTGTTCTCTACTTCCACTTAAAGAAAATATCATAGGCATAGGAATTAAGGACATTCCTGAACTTGATCTCTAATCTTTGGTAGACACTATTCACTACTTAGCAATCTTCCACAGGTCCCTGTTCAGTTTCAATTCTCTTTTTCTACAGAAGCTACCCCAAACCATCCTAATCCTTCACTCACAGAAGACAAGCTTGGCCTTAACGTTCACTGAGAAAATAGGAGGATGTGGGTCTGAAACATACGAACCTCCTGGCCCCATCTGCTTCCTTAAGCGTTCTGTGTCCTGTTCATTGCCGACCTCCTAACCTGCACTCTGGTTCCTGTCCCTCCACATGCTCCAACAATCATTGCCTCTCTCTCCTGAATCTTCAACTTTGGGTTCTAGCAATTCTTTCCTCTCTTCATATCACTACACTCAAAATCCATGTTTAAAACATAGCAAAAGAACAACAATGACAAAACCAAAACTTTCTTCTGGCCTAAGCATTCCACTAACTATATCTGTTCTCCTTCTTTTAACAGCCCACCTTTTAGAAAAAATCATCTAGCCTGGCTCTCTCCCTGCCTCTCACTGTGTATTCTGTGTACACCCCGAAGCAAGCCACCCGCCGAAACTACTCACATCAACGGGGCCAGATGAACACCAAGTTATTCATATCGCACTCAACAACCACTTTTCCAAATCTTCTTTGACTTGACCTCTCCACAGTATATGGTGTTTAACAATTTCCATCGTAAAACTCTATTTCACTGGGTTTTTAAAACATCATCATCGCTTTCTGATTCTCCTTCTTTGCACTTACTAAGTCTTTATGAGTCGGACCTTGAATTTTAACATTTTCCTGGACCTTGAATTTTAACATTTTCCCAGGACTCTATTCTTGGCTTTCCTCTTCTCAAACTAAACTCTCCCTGGGGATGGGGGAGAGGGGGAGGAATATTTACACTATGAATTATCCCACATGCCCATAAATCAATAAAACTAAATCCAAGTTCATATGCTTCCTCCCCCAGCCCAGCCCCCGACCCATGCACACCTCTGTCATGGCACTGCTCTGTCCTCCCTGCCCGGGGCACACCTAGGGGATGTGCACAACACACTACTGTCCTTAGTGGGAAATTTCTAAAGAGGGGAATGGGAGTGTGAATGGGGTGACAACACAGCTAGAGCAATGCATCTTAGAGGACCCAAGGAATATGTAGTTACAAAAAGTACCCCACATGAACTTCACTGAACTATACTGTGAATATCTCGAGGGAAATACGAGGTAAATTCATCTCTGAATTTCATGTGGTTGCACAAGTGCCTGGCACACAGTGGAAACTCAATCCATATTTTATAAATGAAAGAAGTAGGGGAAAAAATGGCATATCTCAAATAAGCTTTGAAGAACTTATTTCAACAGCTACAGATGGTGGAGGAATCACTCAAGTCTGAGAGAACTGTTGGGAAAGCATGGGCACACACAGAACTGATAAACCGGTGGGGCATTTAAGGACAAATAATTGTCAGGTGACACTAAAATACTGCAGCATGATCATATCAGACTTGAAGACTGAGCTGGAGATGCAATCTGCAGGCAATGTGGAACCAGGGAGGTCTTTTCAGCAATGTGATCTGTGATTGGAAAAGAAGAAACTGGAACACGGGACCCCTCTTGAGCAGCTGCCAAATGAATTACCTAAGTGAGAAGAAACGAAGGCCTGAACAAGGCAAGTGCCCCAACAACGGCAACTGGAGTGAAAGTAAACAGATGTAGAAAATATTATTTTTAATAATGAAGATAAATAAACTTTTTAAACATTCAAGAACAATGAAATTAATTGAAAGGTGGTGAAAATTTGAGGTACTAAAATTAAAAAGTCTAAAAAGGAAAAAATATAAATTCTTTTTTAAAAGTACATTTAAACCCAGGTTAACTGAGCCAAATGATCACAAATGGTATTGGGTGTTAGAAATGCAATGTACTTAGAGTTTACTGTGTTGGGAAGAGCTCCAACATGCACACGTTGACACACATTTGGTAACTGAACAGGGTATTCTGTACATGCTTTGGAAAGGTCTTTCTAGAACTTTTGAACAGGGAGTTAGCAGAATATAATCATACCGTGAAGCTGTTGTTAGCATTTTTTGTGCTTGCTTCAGCTACACTGGCATCTGAGAGGTCAACTTCATCAAATATCAGAGACTGTTAATGAAAAAAAAAAAAAACACAAACGCATTAGATGAAAACCTAGCTCAATGCTCTTCAATATGATTTTACCATCAGTTCATGACTATGAAGCTATGTCAGGAATTAGGAATAGAAAATGAAAAAAAGGTTAAGTTAGTGATGCTCTTGAATTTCTTCTTAGGAAGGATGAATAAAACCATAAAGTACAACTAATCCATAAATCCCAAATTGAAAAGGACTTCAAAGAACCTCTGGGCACACTGTTTCAATGCAAATGCGCTGTGCTTTCTGGAAGTATAACAGCTACTACTTATGGGGAGCCTGCTGAGTGTGTGACACACACACACACACACACACTGTCTCTAAAGCTTGTAACAACACTGCCAGGGAGGCACAGAAGTTCCCAGGTTTGCTCAGTGAGAACTGAGAACTAGTCCTGTCTGAGGTTATAATGAGTTACTGAACTTTCTGAACCTTATTTTCCTCATCTATAAATAAGTGTTCAAAAGAGATGATGAATGTGCTCTGCAAGTAAAAGATGATGGAGTTTTTTTATACTCTTAAAAGCTGTTTTAACCAAAAAAGTTTCAGTGATAAAAACTCCATAGAAATGGAATGTTTTAAAACACACGAGGTAGCAATTAGGAAATTCTAATAAATAAACGTATGCTTCCACTTCCAGTCAGTCATTGCTCACACTCATTCAGGGATCTTCCAGCAAGGCAGGCATAACAGTGCACCTCTAGAACTGCAGAAAAAGGGTCCCCCCTTTTCTGACAGCTTCCACACCCCCCACAAACTCTCCAGAGGGTTACGTGAGTCTACTTCAATTCAACCAACCTGACTGTAAGACTTGCTCCTCGACTGCAAGGAATTTACAATCTAGCACAGGAGATGAAATAGATGCAACTAATTTGAAATGTTAGATAGACAATGATTATAAATGTGAAAGAGAAGAGATATAATGAAGTGCTTTAGAAGGTCACAGAAGATTTCTCCAGCAGAAACAAATTAACTCTTTCTCTTGTGAATGATAGAATCAGGATTACTGGAGGTGGATCTTAAAAAAAAAAAAAACAGGGAATTTCGTCAAATGTAGATAAAGGAAAAGTCATTCTGGAGGTGGTCTGCATGGCCCAAAGCTGAAGGCTCAATGCTGTCTAGAGATAAATGTGAAAAATCAGGATGGAGCCAGATCAGGGACAAGCTTGAACATAATCACTTATAAAATAAGATTATTTTATTTGGTTATTATTTCTATAGCTGTATAATTTAAGAATTAGGTTTGTTTATTTGTTTTTACCTCCTGGTATATAACTCTACTAATTATATCAGGAACATTCATTTTTTTAAAATGGAAATGATTAATTATTCAACTGGCATAGTAGCCAGAAATCTTAATGTTTATTTTTGAGGTAATACTAAAATATCAGTTTTAATAGAGGCTCATAATTACAAATTTTTCTCCCAAAACTGCATGATTATTATTTGGCTGAACTGTTATTATATATAACAATCATTTTGTCTTGATTTTATTTCAATATGATTTTTTATTCTTAATTGCTAGCATACTGGAGTGATCATTCTGTGTTGGGTACTATGGAAGCACTTGATGTATATTGTCTCCTGGAAGTCTCCTCTCAACAATATGTGCTAGCCACAGCTACTCTGCTGGAATGTGCTGGAAGTGGGATATGAACTCCTGTCTGAACCCAGACAGAGCATGAATTCTTAGCAACTATAGAGACTCTCTCCCTCATGGTCAAGGAAAGATTTATAGGGTAAAAAGTTGCAGAAAAGGGAGAAGCCCAACATGTTGAGTTTATTACATCTCATAAGGCTACATTTAATTAGAAGGAGAAAGGAAAGGAAGAAATAAAGAAAAAACTACACTGAAGCATTCCTAAAAGATTATCCTTAGGGACATGTCATGGGACTGACTCAAATAGAGACCTCCTTACAATGGGGTCCAAGACAGATCACATTTATACTGAGTTCACACAAGAGCAGTAATGCTATAGTGAGCAGTAATGCTATAGTGAGCAGTAATGCTATAGTGAGCTGGCAAAAACAGCTTAAACAACCAAAATTTTAAATCTATCCCCAACCTCAAGTGCTTGGAATTAGTGGATTCTCCTGCATTACCTTTGAGTCCTTTGCATAGTACAGTGTACGGCCTCGAAGTTTGAAGTATCGCTTTTTCCACCTTTGGAAAGAACTGGTTTGCTTCAACAGTTGTCCCTCTTTAATACTGGTCTGGAGAGAAGCAGAAGCACAACAATATGATTAAAATGAAATTCAAGACAAAATGAGATTCAGAATCAATGACATGTGATCATTTGCATTTTGAATAATATGCCCCATGTCTTACAAATTACATGAAAGAATATTTTATTTTCATCACAGTTGAATTAAGGAAGCATGTGTGTACAAAGCCCCAAAGACCAAATGTGAATTTAACATGGTTCCCTGCCCTCAAAGAATTCACAAATAATACACGAGACACACGCACACACACTAACATTTGCAATACAGTGTGATATGCACACTGCCTCATGTATAGTAAGTATGGTGAAGGTGAAGTATAATGATTATGAAAGCCCAAGGGCTCTAGATCCAGACGCCTTGTGTTCACCTCCTGGCGCCATCACTTAGCAGCAGAATGATCTTAGGCAAGTTACTAAATTTCTTCATGCCTTTATTTATTCATGTGTAAAATGGGGATGACAATACAATAGGATATACCTTTTAGGGTTGTTGTGAGGAATAAATGAAAAACACACAAAGGACTTAGTGCATGGCACACACAGTAAGTGCTCATTAAATGTTAGTTGTCACGAGCCATCAGTTATTTATAACAAACATATAAACAAAGTACTGTGCATGGTGGTCCAGGGAAGGAAGTTCAGCTCGCCTTAGAGAGAGTCAAAGAAGTCTTCCCAAGGCTGGTCTTGAAGGAGTTTATCAAGGCCGGGCGCGGTGGCTCACGCCTGTAATCCTAGCACTTTAGGAGGCCGAGACGGGTGGATTGCTCAAGGTCAGGAGTTCGAAACCAGCCTGAGTGAGACCCCGTCTCTACCAAAAATAGAAAGAAATTAATTGACCAACTAAAAAATATATTATACAAAAATTAGCCGGGCATGGTGGCACATGCCTGTAGTCCCAGCTACTCGGGAGGCTGAGGCAGTAGGATTGCTGAGCCCAGGAGTTTGAGGTTGCTGTGAGCTAGGCTGACGCCACAGCACTCACTCACTCTAGCCTAGGCAACAAAGTGAGACTGTCTCAAAAAAAAAAAAAAAAAAAAAAGGAGTTTATCAGAATGACAAGAGATGGGAGACGGGTATCTTACGTGTGTGCAAAAGTAGAAACGTTTAAAACAGCATGGATATTGGGGGAATCCTCAAAGAGCTTTCTGTTATAAAATGCAGCAAAGGGTTTGCAAGGGGGAGTAGTGGAGATGTGGCTGGAAAAGGTAGTCAGGGGCTCTGTGGCTCTGGGACAGGCCCTGTGTTAAATGCTTTACATATGCTAGCTCATTTCACTGTCACCAACAAAATACTTTGAACCTCTCTGACATCATCTAGTGTCTCTCCCTCTCGGTCCCCTCCGGCAACAATGGCAGCTTTGCTCTTAGGTGGTCATATCTGTTCCTGCCTTAATCCTGGCACTCATTCATTACCTGTCCTCCCGGACTGCTCTTCCCTCAGATGGCCACCTGGCTCACTCCTTCACCTCCTTCGAGTCTTGATCTTCTCAACAAGACCCAGCTCACTGACCGCCTGTTTAAGGCTGCAACTTGTTCATGTTCTCCATATCCCCCCCCGTCTGATCTGATTACCCACGCCCACAAAGTACTTCCCATCTTCTAACATACACTGCAATTTATTTACTTATTGTGTTCATTGTGCTATCCCCTATGAGAACATGATGTCCCTGAGTTTGTTATATCTAATAAAGTTAAATTTAATGTTTCATTTTAATTGGAAGGAAAGAAAAAAGAAAGCAGACTATACTAGAGCCTTCCTATAAGATTGCTGTTAGGAGACATGTCACAAGACTGGCTCAGATAGACCCCATTATTTTAGACCTTTCTACTTTTGCATACACCTAAGATGCTCTTCTCACATCTCTTGTCATTCTGATAAACTCCTCCAAGACCGGCCTTGGGAAGACTTCTTTGACTCCCTCTAAGGCGAGCTGATACTTCTTCCTATGGACCACCATGCACAGTAATCTGTTTACATGTTTGGAGATAGATCTCATTTATACTGAATAAAAAGAGTAACAATGCTATAGTGAGCCTCCAAGACAAAAACAGCTTATAGGACCAAAATTTTAAATGATCCCACTGGATTGTGCAGATAGCAAGTGCCTAGAGTGGAACATTATCTGGTACATATGTTAATGAGATCTATACGAACAAAAGGCAGATGCTTCTGAGATGGAACCCTATCTGTTTGGTTCCGGCGTTTATTCCCAGCTTTTTACACCATACTGCCTCTTATTATCAAAAAAGACATAAAATATTGAGAAAATTTTGTTGTCTCCAGGAAGGTAGTTAAGTTATATTAATGCTTATTTCCAATTTCAATAAGAAATCTACTCTACAGCTCGCTCCAAGATTGTCCTCCAGGAATTGTTGTGAGATCATTACAATTTAATGGTAACAAGATATTTCTGAAACTTCAGTACCAAAGAGCCAATTTAGAGTCAGACAGACAGACTTCAAGCCGGGCTCCAGCATACAATTACAGTAGGAACCTGGGCGAGTCACTCCAACTCTCCTACACCCTAGTTTCCTCTCATTAAAAAAATGGCCATTACAACACCAACTTCACAAGCTTGCTGTATCTAATTTAATTATAAGATAATGCCTGTAGAGCACTTAGCACACTGTCTGGGTTGAAGAAAACATTCAACAAATGGGACAAAGTGTTATTATTATGATATCATTATGCTATTAAGTCCAAGGAGTATTTTCCAGGCATCGAATTAGACAAGCTTCTTGGAAGAAGTAAATAAGTGCTCGCAGGCCACTGTCAGGACAAATAACAGCTGGAGTAGAAGGAGAGTATCAAGAGATAAGGTTAGAGAAGACAAGAGCCAGTACATGTTGGCCACAGCGGGGAGTCTGCTTTTCATTCTAAGTGCAAAAAGCTAGTGAAATGTTTAAGGCAGGGAAGTGACAGGGGGAAATGGGTGAGAAAGGCAGCGGTGATTCTAATAGCAGTCACAGTAGACAACCGCTGCCTTAGACCACGGGTGGGGTCTACCTGCACATTTAAACCAATTATAGCTGCCTGAGTCCACACAGAAGCAAGGTTCCCAAGAGGAAGCAGTGAGGAAGTCCAGGTGTCAGGACAAAATCCTGCCCTTAATAAGCCTCATGTGGCAGCAGCAAAAAATGCTGCCGGAATGAAATTCCAAGCCCCATTTTGCACAACTTCGTAAGAAAAGTAAGATAGAATGCAAAGCATTCTAAGGCACTCCTTCTTCTCTTTTTTTTTTTTTTTTTTTTTTTTGCTATCTAGGACTAATTTTTGTATAGAATAAATTTAAATACACCACCATATGGTACCAGCTTAATACACACAGGGGCTAGGTTATCTTCTATCATCTCTCCCATCCCTGGGGTCCATGATCCAGGCAAGCATAAGTCAAACCCTATTACCAAATACACTGTTACAACCACCACTAATGTAGCAAGAATAAAAAAGTCCCCAAGTACCATCCAAAAGCCTATTTATTTTTAGCAATATGGAATAAAATGGACTCCTAATACAAAAAGGAAATATTAATAACATAGACCAGCCATTCAAGATGACTTACATTCAATACCTCTACTTTTTTATTCCATAAACTACACTAAAGTTTTGCTTATAATGACAAAAATTAGGAAAACATAAATAATGGTGCAAATTTCTAAATAATTTGATATGATTTACATCAATTGAGGCTGAGAGTGTTGTATTAAGTGCATATGAATATTAACTGCAGGTCAAAATTATCAGAAATTTTCAGATTTATTATACAAAATTTATACTAGAGAGATAAAAAAAAATCCATGTTTATGACCTAATAATTTGTATATTTTAAATGGTCATGTATCTTAAGGATTTATCCCTGAAAAAATCTATTTTAGCATCAGGTCAGAAATATAAGCCAAAGGAAACCATATTACAGAAAATTTTTTTTACAGCTTTGAGATGTAATTACCATCTCATAAACTGTACATATTTAATGTGTACAATTTGATTTGTTTTGACATGGGTATATGGCCATGAAACCATTGCCATCATCAAGATACTAAATTATATTCTCCATACCCAAACTTTCTTTATATACCATTGCAATCACTACCTGTCCCCACGTGACCACTGATCTGCTGCCAATCATAAGATATTACCTGTTGTATTTTCTAGAATTTTATATAAATGGCATTATACAGTGTATACTTTTTTTAGTCCAATTTCTTTCACTTTAAGTATTTTGAGACTCATCCATTCTGTTATGTATCTCAGTACTATATTCCTGTTTATTGCTGAGTAGTATTCCATTGTATAGACATACTACAGTTTGTTTATCCATTTACCTATTGCTGAACATTCGGGTTGCTTCTCATTTTTAGCTATTAAAATTGTGCTGCTATAAACATTTGTCTATAAGTTTTCATGGACAGATGCTTTCATTTCTCTGTCTTCCCCCACCCCTTAGCTTCTCCCTTCAGTCAACCAACATATTATACAACTTCCACTAGAAATTACACAGTTTAGCTACAAAGAATTATCGTGCCTCTCATCAAGAACCTAATTGAGGAAGGGGAAAGAAAATTTTCATACTGTACCTCAGAAAGAAAAGTCTGACTTATGGAGATTTGAAACACAAACGGTTGTTACTAATGAAAAAGTCTTTTTGTTTTAAGAGAAAGAGTCTCTCTCTCTGTCACCCAGGCTGGAGTGCAGTGGCACAATCATGGCTCACCTGCAACCTCGAACTCCTGGGCCCAAGCGATCCTCCTGCTTCAGTCTCCTTTATACAATTAGCCAGAAAATCCTTGGCTTATTGTATAAAGGGCTCCTCAGGGAGAGATCCCATGGCAGAGGTGAAGTGGAACCCCATGCATCACACATAGGGTACCCACTAATGAGGCTCTAAGGGGAGGACACTCTGTGTCCCAGAAACCTCAATTCCAAGACAGAACTAGGAGTACATCTTCCCATAGAAACCATACCATATATTTGCCTTAATGATTAAGT